AAGCCCTGTCCCCCCTCCCCTGGGGCTGCCCAGGGCCACAGGCTGAGGACAGGGTGGCACTCGCCTCTGGTTCTCCTGGAGCAGGGCTCACCGCTCATCCTCCTGTCTACTCACAAGTCGCTCCTGGATGGGATCCTGCTGCCTTTTGTGCTGCTCTCCCAGGGCCTGGGCGTGCTCCGCGTGGCATGGGACCCCCGCGCTTGCTCGCCTGCCCTCAGGTAAGAGCCTGTGCCTTGGCTGCCCCGAGAGAAGTCCCAGCCTGGGGCAGGGGTGTCAGGGGTATGCTGGCAGCAGCCCCCCAAAGCCCCTTTCCTGGGCCCGCTGCTCCCACACAGGCCCCCCTCCCTCGAGAGCCCAGCCTCTCACCACTCTGCCCTGTGCCCCCTGCCCCACAGAGCTCTGCTGAGGAATCTTGGGGGGCTTTTCCTGCCTACAGAGGCCCACCTCTCCCCGGACAGCTCCGAGGGAGTTCTCGGAAGGGCGGTGGTCCATGCTGTAAGTGTCTCCATGGCTGTGTGTGGGCCAGGCAGAGGTAGAGGGGTCTGTTTCTGCTCTGGCCTTGATACCCGCTCCTCTGCCCCAGGCGATGGAACAGCTGCTGGTCAGTGGGCAGCCCCTGCTCATCTTCCTGGAGGAAGCTCCTGGGGCCCCAGGGCCACGGCTGTCAGCCCTGGGCCAGGCCTGGCTAGGGCTGGTGGTGCAGGCGGTGCAGGCAGGTGTGGTCCCAGATGTTACACTGGTGCCAGTGGCCATCGCCTATGACGTGGTTCCAGATGCGCCATATGACATGCACCACGTGAGAGCCCCCTGCCCTGGGACCACATGTGGATGGATACCAGCTTGACTGAGTCCTCCCCAAGGGTGGGCGTGAAGCAGGGAGTAGAATCTATGTCAAGGAGTTCTCCCTATGGTCATTATTCTGTGGTATCTGACAGGGCCCTCCCATCAGCCTCTCATTTCATCCTTAAAAGTCCCTGCCAGGGAGGAATTTCTCCTGATTTGTGAATGAGAAGACAAGCTTGGAGTGGCCAGGGTTCTGTGTGCAGTTGGGTCTGGGATAAAAGTTGAGCAGGGTGGGAGCAGTGGGCCAGGGTGGTGGCCTGGGGCATGTCTGAGTGACCCTGCAAGGCTGTGGGACTCAGCTTCTCCCTCTCTGCAGGCCTCAGCCCCTCTGGGGCTGTGGACGGGCGCACTGGCTGTCCTGCAGAGACTGCGCAGCTGCTGGAGTGGCAGCCACAAAGCCTGTGTCCGAGTGCATCTTGCCCAGCCCTTCTCCCTGCAGGTATGGGGCTAGCTGGTCACAGCTGGGAGGGCCTGTGGGCTCACTGCTCCTGCCTTCAGTGGGCTGTGTGCAGGTGTGGACCAGTGGCAGCCACTGAGGGTCTTATTCTGGGCAGGAATACACCACCAACGCCAGAAGCTGCTGGGGCGACAGGCAGACCTTGGAGCACTTGCTACAGCCCATCGTGCTGGGCCAGTGGTAGGGCGGGGTGACAGCCCTCGTGCCTGCAGTCCCCCACCCCAGGCAGTCAGCAGCCCTGTTCCCACACAGCCTGTGTCAGCCAGCACAGCACAGGGACTCACATTACCCAGTCTGGAGGACATGGTGTAGGCCAGGAAGGGGCAAGTTGTGCAAGACATCCCCTGGGCTGGCCTTGGTGTGGGGAGACACCTTCATCTTAGGGAAGGCTCAAGGCCCCCATGACTGTTTTGTAGGCTTGGTCTTTGTATTGTTTGATCTGTCCCAGTGCCATTGTTCTGTCCCAGTGCCATTGTTCCAGACACTGAGAAGGAGCAGGAGTGGACCCCAGTCACTGGGCTGCTCCTGGCCCTTGGGGAGGAGGACCAGCTCCTGGTCAGGAGGCTGAGCCGCCACGTCCTGAACGGTGAGGGTGATGTGCTAGGCTTTGGGGGCATCCTAAGCAATGCTTCTGTATGGGCCACCGTCAGTGGGTCCTTCTGAGTGGATGTGTGTGCCTGGCCCTCCTTCCTCGGGTGGTGCACCGAGTCCCCAGCTGCCCTGGGGAGGAGGGCAGAGAGCGGCCAAGAGCACACAGGGCCACCGGTGCAGAGGACGAGCTGTGTGCAGGGCACGGACCCAGCCGTAGTCACTTGGCCAGGGCCCCAGCCCACCTTGGGCTCCCCACCTCTCCTCAGCCTGCCTGGCTGTAAAAAGGAAGGGAAGAGCCAAGTCGGGGGCTGCCTCAGTGCCTGCTCAGAGGCCACTTTAGAGTTGTCTGCTGACAGCATCTCAAGTGCCCCCCTGTGGGGCGGAGACTGCAGGGTGGGCGTGGCAGTGGAGAGGCGTGGCAGAGCATGACGGGGGACCAGGCCTCTGGGCCGGGACCCTGACTGGGCCCACCCAACCCCAGCCAGCGTGGCAAGCTCGGCAGTGATGAGTACGGCCATCATGGCGACGCTGCTGCTGATCAAGCACCGGAAGGTAGGGCGCGGCATGGTGGGGCCCAGGGTGCAGCCCTGCTGCCCGTTCAGCCCTGCTCTACCCTAGGGTGTGGCCCTGTCGAAGCTGTTGGTGGACTTCTCCTGGCTGACAGAGGAGATGCTGCTGCGTGGCTTTGACGTGGGTTTCTCAGGGCAGCTGCGGAGCCTGGTGCAGCACACACTGAGCCTGCTGCGGGCACACGTGGTCCTGCTGCAGGTCCACCAGGGGGACCTGGTGGTGGTGCCGCGGCTTGGGCCAGGCCTTGTGCACCTGGCACGCTTGAGTGCTGAGCTGCTGCCCGCCTTCCTGAGTGAGGCAGTGGGTGGTGAGTGCCCAGGGCTGGGGGGTGGAGGTGTGCGAGAGGGGCGCGGCCTGTCCTCACCACCTGGCCCTTCTCCACCAGCATGTGCTGTGCGGGGGCTGCTGGTAGGCAGAGTGCCGCCTGAGGGTCCCTGGGAGCTACATGGCGTGGAGCTGCTGAGCCAGAGGGAACTGTACCACCACGTCCTGCTGCTGCTGCACCTGCTGCCCAGGGACCTGCTGCTGCTGCAGGTCAGGCCTGCCTCTGCCTCCTGAGACCCCCCACCACCGCCCCGCTTTATCCTGTCCATGGGACCACACCCTCCTCTGGCCCCGCTCCCAGGAACCTGCGCCACTTCTGTCCTATCCCATTCAGGGGAGCCCCCCCGCCCCCGCCCCGGTTGAGCCCCAGGAACTGGGCCTTTGCCCTGCCCAGTGGCCTGGTCTCCTGAGGCTACCCAGGTGCCTCTATTCCCAGCCCTGCCAGTCTTCCTACTGCTACTGTCAGGAGGTGCTGGACCGGCTCATCCAGTGTGGTCTCCTGGTTGCTGAAGAGGTAGGCAGGGCAGCCACCCCAGTCCCCCTCTGCTGTATGCTACCCTGTCCTCCTAGGGGACAGGGAGGCCTGGCTCCACCACACCTGCCCTGGGCCCTTTGTCTCTCGCCGGGATCAGACAGGCATGCCTGGAAGGTTTCTACCACACTCCCCACACAGTGCTGTGGCCCCTGTGGGTGGGCACTCACTTCCTCCCACACTGCACATGCTATGGCCTGGTCTGGCTCTAGCATCCTTCCTGGCTCCTCAGATCTGCTTTCCTCATTCACCTGCATGCACCCAGTCTGGGGGCTGAAGGAAGGATCCCTGACCTGCCAGGGACCAATGACTCCCTCCCCACCAGACCCCAAGCTCTCGGCCAGCCTGCGATACAGGGCGACAGCGTTTGAGCGCAAAGCTGCTGTGGAAACTGAGCGGAGACTTCAGTGACAGTGAGAGTGACAGTGATGACTTTGAGGAGGCTCAGGGCCGGTGCTTCAGGGTGTGTTGGGAGGAGCCTGGGAGGAGGGGGCCAGTGGTAGGGACTCACTGGGGCACCATCCTCACCCTGGCCTGTTGCCCTCCAGCTCGGCGAGCAGTCATGCTGCCCTGATTTCTTCATCTTTCTCTGTCGCCTGCTCAGGCCACAGCTCAAGGCCTTCGCCCAGGCTGCAGCCTTCCTCCGCCAGGGGCAGCTGCCCGATACTGGTGAGCTTGCCTCCCCTGCGGTGCCCAGGGCTCTGCCTGTGGACCTGGTCTAGCTCTTCTCTCCCACAGAGTCAGGCTACGCGGAGCAGCTGTTGGAGTTCCTGCAGACCAGGGCCCAGGAAGAAGGGCTGTACGGTGAGTCCTAAGCAGCCAGCCTGGGGTTCCTGGAGGCCGAAGGGTTTGCTGGTGGCTGCTGCCCCCTGCTGGGCAGTGGCACCTGGACCCCAGGAAGGAGAGCCACAGCCGAGCCCAACCCTGGGTTCCTTCTTTAAACAAAAGCTGTGCCCAGTGGTTCCCTGCCCTGTTCCTAGCCTTCGTGTCTCTTCCTCCAGAGTATGCAGACCCAAACCTTGCCATCAGCGCTGTCTGGACCTTCAGAGACCTGGGGGTGAGAGGGGCCAGCATTATTGCCTTCTTGCCCCCTGTTCCTGTCCCCAAGCTATGGAGGTGGCCTTGATGACACCTAGAGGGGATTTGCTTGGGAATACATGTGATGGTGGACTGTATGGTCCCCCACCCCTTGGTCTCCTCCACCACTGGCTTCCCTGTTCCCAGGTGGGGCGCCAGGGTGGCTTGAGACATGAGTTGCAGCATTCGCACTTAGAACTGAGGGGCCAGAGGTCTCAGTGCAGGGCTGCAGGGGACAGGCTCAGCCCGGACCACAGCCCTCCCTTGTGTCTGTCACCACCAGGTGCTGCAGCAGACACCCAGCCCTGCGGGCCCCCAGCTCACACTGTCCCCTGTGTTTGCCAGCCAGGACAGCCAGGACAAGCTGGAACAGTTCATCCAACAGTTTGTGTGTAGCTAGGTTGTGGGGCAGAGGCTGTTCCAAGCCTCCTTGGCACGAAGGCAGAGTCATACAACAATAAAGTCTGTGGTCGAATGGTCTCTTGCTGTCTGTCCTTTGGTGTGATAAACAAGAGGACTGGACGAGTCCTCTTCCCCTGTGGTGTTTGTGGTTGCTCTTTCCCCAGCCTTGTGAAAATGACAAAAAGCCCTGAAATTGAAAGATAATCAGAAGCCAGGCTGTTGCTTTGCCTTTTATTGTTGAGGCTTCCACCTTCTGCCCTCCTCACAAGCAGCAGCATCCTGGGGGTGGGGGGGCGGGCACTGGACCCGCTGGCAGCAGGTGGCCGTCCTGTCCCACTCTGGGCTTGGGAGGGAGCCGTCACGCCACCTTGTTGACGAGGACCCCAAGTTCTTCAATCTCACACTGGACCTCGTCCCCCTTCTGCAATAGCAGGTGGGGGTTCAGCCCTGGCTCTGGCGTGCAGGCTGCCCAGCCAGCTCGGCCCTCATCCTCGCCCCCTTTCTTCCCTTAGCTAACCTACCTTGAGGAAGACGGGTGGCTTCCTGAACATCCCAACACCTGGGGGTGTCCCAGTCAGGAAGATATCCCCTGGGTAAAGAGTGACAAACCTAGGGCAGAGCAGAAGGGTCAGGGGAGACACAGGCTAGGGGGCCGCGCTGGGGCTCCGTGTGGGCTCCGGCCACTTACTGGGAGACCCAGGCTATGAGCTGCTCTGTCTTAAACACCATCTGGCTGGTGTTGCTGCTCTGTACCACCTCGCCGTTCACTCGGCAGCAGATGTTCAGGTTGTGTGGATCTGAAATGCAAAGCAGCACTGTGGGGTCACCCAGTTTCCTTTCCTGCCCCTCCCTGCCCCACCCCTTGCCAAGCGTGAGGACCCCGCCTGTCACGCTACCCTCCCAGTGTGGACACTGCCCTGCTGCCCTGCTACTCTCAGAGCAGCAGCCAGTGGCCACTCAGGCGACCGAAGGCGGGGAGAACGGCTGGGGGTCCTGCCCTAAAAAAAAAGCCACCTGTCCACAGCAGGGGCAGAGAGAGCTGTAAAATGACTTCATGGCCACAAAGCCACAGGGGCAGTGAAACCCCACAACCTGCTGCAGATTGTGTCCAAGGACTGTCCTAGGGCAGTCCTGGCAGTACGGTATCCTGGCTAAACGGCACCTCTGCTCGTTGGTGGCAGTCTGTTCTGTGCCCGTGAGGCAGCTTCCTAGACTGTGTGACACTCTGAAGCCTGGCTGCCCTGGGCGTGGCTCACCGGTGGCCACGCCACCCTCCAGTGGCCACGCTGCAGGCTGCTCTGCTCCTGCCCTCCTGGGTCCTTGCCACCTGTGGCTGCTGCTGTCCTGTGCACATGGTGGCTGGGCAAAGTCCTGCTGGTGCTTCCACATCTCCCTCCGTGTGGAAAGCGAACAGGCTTCGCCACAGCCATTCTGCACGATGCTCAGGCCAACCGTGCTCGCTCCCAGCTTAGCGTGTTCCAGCAGTGGTAACTAAGGTGGCCTGACCCCGCTCCAGTGCAGCTCTGTTCTCTGTCATTCACTTTATGAACAAGTTCCTCCGCCGCTGCAGTCCTGTCCCCTATACAGGGCGCAGGAAGTAGGCCCGCAGGAGAACTTGGCTGGGGCTGTGGCTGCTCTCTGCGGGGCAGCAGATGCCAGATGGGCCACACCCCTACTTCCCATAGTGCTGCCTTCTGACCTTGAGTATCTGCCAAGGGCAGGCACAAGTGGCGAAGACCAGGGACCTACCTGCTACACTGTCCTTGGTAACCAAAGCAGGGCCCAGGGGGCAGAAGGTGTCAAAGGTTTTTCCCAACAGCCACTGCTTCCCATTGCGCCTTACTTGCCAGTCCCGAGCACTCACATCATGAGCCACGGTGAAGCCTGCCACGTGAGCCATGGCATCTGTGGCCTATAGGGGCAGGGATTGGCTAGACAGGCTATGTCACAGGTGACACTAACTCCTAGAACAGGATCTCAAGGCTGTTAGCACATGTTAGTAGCCAGAGCTAGCCAAAGGTGGGGGGCGAGGAGCCAGGCAGCAGGGAGGTGCTGACCGCACCCCGGTGGCAGGGACAGCAGGCACAGCAGAGGCTCAGGTGGCCCGGGCCCTCTTCCGTCTCACCTGGATGTGCTTGCCTTTCTTCCCAATGACCACGGCCAGCTCCACCTCCCAGTCCACCTCCTGTAGAGCGGGAGAGGGCAGTGACTTTGGTGGCCCAAAGGCCTGTCCCTGAGCTGAGAGGGACACACTGGACCTCAGGGCCGGGACTCTTGCCAGGGCGCCCTGTCTGCCAGCTCACATTTGCAGTCACCACGACCGAGCCAGGAGAACGACGGGGGAGGTGTGACACTAGAGCCCTGAGCTGCCATTGCTTCCCCCTGTGACTCGAAGAGCAACACCTGTGGAGGATGGAGTTTAAGTCGCTCTTGATGCCTTCTCCAAAGGACGGTTCCGGCTAATAACGGCAGCTCTAACCTGCAGCGTGTCAGGCACTCAGTACTGCAATGTGCTGACTTGCTTTAATAATAAAAAGATCAACATCCCAGAACTGACGTGGCCAAAGGGCTTAAATATGCAAGTCACAAAAAAGAAATACTAATGGTTACAAAGGATGAACAAATGCTCACTCTTCCCAATCAGCAAAATGCCACTGCTAAGTAGATACAATGTAGCCTCTCAAATCAGCTATCTCCAACCTAACAAGCAGAGCTGTGTGAGCATGCCCGACGCCTATGTGCCAGTCTCTCATACCGACCCCCACGGAAAAGAACTAGGAAATGGCCAAGACCGGGTCCAGGACACAGTACAGTGGAGGCTAGAAGGACAGTATGGCTGGAAGGAAGGGCTCAAAGAGGGAGAGGGTGGCGCCACACCGCGGCCCCACTGGCCATGAACAGAATGTTAGGTTATGGATTACAACCAATGTGAATGAGAATCAGGAATTCATGATGAGGCAGCTTCTCTTCACACAAGAATGCCCACTAGGAAGAGCAGAAGACCCCTCCGTGCAAACACAGATTCAGGTAAGGGTGACGTAGGGTCTCTGGGTGGAAAGCAGCGGGGCAGCAAGAGTCACGTGATCCTGAACTACGACCCAGCATCACTCATCCATTCCAACCAGAAGGCGCAGCTTACAAGGACGAAGTGAGCGGTCACAGTCTAGGGCCACCTGACGGGAGCCTCCTAGTGGGACGCAAGGGGAGGTACACACCGTTTTCTGTTCTTGGCAGCAATGCTTAACCTGAGTCTCATCAGGGGAAAACAAGACCAAACTAGAATCCGGACATGCTATAAGAAAACTTGACTGGACTCTTCCAAAAGTGTCAGGGAACAGAAGAAGGCCACAGAGATTGAGATCAGGGGCCAGCAAAGGACAGCCAGCTTTTGGGCTCTTTTTCTAAACAAGTCTTACCAGAACCCCATCATGTTCATTCATTTACCTACGACCCCTGGCAGTTTTCACGCCGCAACAGCAGAGCTGAACCGCTGCGGCAGTCACCTGACAAAGGCTCTTATTTACCATTAGCCCTCTAAGGAAAGGGCTGTGGACTCTGCTCCAGATTAAAGCCACTAAACAGCTATAGCCACATACAATGTGAGCCTTTGTTGCTCCTTTATTGATTAAAAAAAAAGTAACCAAAGTACTAGTCATCTTTGGGGTAACTGGGGGTACAGTATTCCTAATGGAACTGGGACAACGGCAGACCATTGACAGTGCTCACATTCACTTTCTTAGCTGCGGTGATGGTGTTATGGTCAAGCAGGCCAGTGTCCTTATTCCTTATTACAGACATTATGATCTTAATGTCTGTAGCTTCCTTTCAAAGGTTGCTCCCCTACAAAAATTGTATTTGTTCACGTGGAGTGAAAAACCAAGCAAATACGGAAAAATGTTAACAGTGAAACCAGGTGAATAGTATCTGGGTGTTCACTGCATGACTCTTTTCAATTTTACTGTAATTTCCAAAACATTCCTAACTTAAAAATTTGAGAGAAAACCTAACCAGTGTTATTAAGTTATGCACTTTTGGTGGGTAAGGTGCTTTTATACCTTTTTAAAATGTTGGATTGGCAAAATTTCTCTGAAGAAGTGAAATGCTATCTGTATTCTGACATAGACATTCAAATTCTAAGAGTTTATTCTAAGAAAAAATCATTTCTGGATGTGCAAAGCCTTTTCTATGTGAGGCTATTCACTGCAACACTATAAAGCCCAAGACAAGCAACAAGTCCAGCAACAGGGATCTAGTGAGGAAATCATGGCTACTGGCCCAACAGAAAACCACATGGCAACCTAAACTATGCCAGGGGATTATTTAATGGATGAAAAATATTCTTGCTGAAGTCTTAAGAAAAAGCAGGTATAGGCAGGAACAGGAAAACACTGAGAAGGTCTACAGCAAGACATTAATATCAAAAGCCCTACTCAGGAAAGAAAAAAGCCCCCAGCAGGGGGAAGACGGTTTTCCAATGAAAATATATGCCTTTTATAATCAGGAGAAGATGTACGTTAGTGAATGCCTTTCCTCAGGGAGGCCAGTGTTATATTTTGTTTCAGGCACTAAGTAACCGGGGACTACTGCAGGCTGTCAGTGCCCTGATGAGGGACCCGGTGACCCCGGAAGGGGAGGGGAGGTGCTAACCTGACTCTCGGGTGGCAGGAGGATCTCATCGTAGGGCCCCACGATGGAGCTGGCAAACTTGCTGAAGATGATGGGCTCCTTGGGCACAGGCACGTTCTGTTCTTTGCAGTGGTCCGCGTAGTTCATGCCCACACACACCACCTTGTCTGGCCGTGTGACTGGGGCCAGGAGGGTCACCTCCGACCGTGGGAGGAGTGGCAGCTGGGCGGCTAGAGCCCTGCAGAGACCAATCAGGAGGGGGGCTGGCTGGGATCAGGTTGGCCATCCTAGGGCAGCCTGGGGAGATCCTGCAGCAGTTCCGAGTTTTTTTTTTAAAGTGTATTTTCTAGAACCATCAGCACCAATGTGAAAATCAAGCCCAGCTACTGCCCTCTGATGTCAACAATTTGTTATTTGTCCAGTATTTATTTCCTTTCCCCTATTAGATAATTTATGCCCCCCCCATGCAGGTGAGTTCAAAAAGCATGAAAGGAGCTGGGTGGGCATGGTGCATGCCTATAATCCCAGTACTGGGGAGGTTGAGGCAGGAGGATGGCTGTGTGTTCAAGGCCAGCCAGGGATACATAGTGAGTTCAAGGGCAGCCTGCACTATACAGCAAGACCTTGTCTCAAAAAAAAACCCAAAAAACCAAAAAAACAACAAAAAACAAAACAAAACAAAAACCCCCAAAAGCATTAACAAGAATAAATGGAAAGGTCTCCTTCACCCCTTCTACTTACCCCATGCTCCTCCCTGGAGCAAGCCACTGTGTCTGGGGTCATTCTTAATAGCTGCTCGGTGAAATGCTTCTCTCACCTTTTTATATGCAAATAATAGCACAATATATGCCTTTTAAAGAAACTTAGTGTACTCTGGAGATCTCTCCATAACAATACATAGAGAGTCTCTCATTTTATTTTTCATGGCTGCACATTACTGCTCTGCAGAGATCACCCAGTTCCCTAATGAGGGCCATGGAAGGTGTTTCCAGTCTTGTAAGAATATGACAGTATGGGAACACACTGTCACCAACCCTGTGGGCTGTCAAATCTTGCTATTTCTGCCGACTTAGTAGGTGCAAACTACATCTTAAGGTGGCTTTAAGCTACTGCTCATCAATCCTTCAGGCCAGATCCTGTACAGCTTCTGGCTGCAGGGACGCCCCCAGTTACTCTAGCCCAAACTCAGGAACCAATTATCTTGGAGAAAAGCTCTTTGCAGTCTTCTCTAATGATCCAGTCTAAATCACTCCTCCAGCTTCCCAAGATGCCTCCCTCTTAGACCCCTGGGTCCCAGACAACCTCAGGTGGGCAGAGACTTAATCCCGCAAGGAAGTAAAGTCCTAACTCCACCATCCAATGTGGTCCTGGGAGTTTAATCACCCTCCCTGGACTGCAGTTTCTTCCTCTGTAAGTTGAAGACATTACATAAGATTCCTAAGGCTCTTCACTAAGAGAACAGGTGAAAAGGAAAGGTGGGTAACCTGCCTGCTCCTTTGCAAAAGGCTCCGGGCTGGTTCTGTTTCCCGGGGTGGAGGAGGGAGAGGGGGACAGGGCAGCAGCTGCAGGATGCTGCCACCTGCCATTTACCTTCTTGCCACTGAGAGGGTGGCCTCTCCCTGCTCCAGGAACTGTGTCATTGTTGTGGGGAGTGTGGGGTCAAAGGCATTGAGGTCGACGATGCCACCACCACTCCCCAACTCCAGCCCCAGGTGAGGCCCTGCCAGGTGTGGTGCCTGGAACTGCACCAGTCTCATGTCTCTTCGGGGTTGAAAAGGCTGCTTCTGAGCCTGTAGCAGAGCCGTGAGCAACCTCCTCCTACCAGAGACCAGCATCAGCCCCTGCGCAGGAAATAGCAGGACACAGAGAAAAGGAGATCTCAGAATGTCTTGGGATCACCACAGTTCCTTGAAATGCAGCCCAAGTCCTTTGCCCCACAAACCATTCCTGGCAAACCGCATAGTAAGTGGTCCAATTTATAAGATGTTTCATCCTTATGAAGGTAAAAGATTATAAAGCAGTGACTACTTAATGTCAGGCTCTAGAGAGTTAGTCCTGGGGAATTCCAGTCTTCCTCTGCCAGTGTTTTCTGTAAGGTTACAATGTGCCAGGCTGCTGCACGTCAGACAGTGCTGCAGTCCTGCTTGCAAGGGAGACAGATGTGACGAAGGGATGTTAGCAAGCTTCAACTAATAGGACCGGTGCTGTGAAGATGATCGGGGAGGGCCCTGCCTTTGTCCAGCTGCTTGGGGAAGTGCTGCCACCGGGGATGGGTGAAGTGAGCAGGACAGGCCAGCATGGGCAAGGGGCCAAGCCTAAAACTGGCCTCAGGGCTGTCTCCTGCAATCTTTGAAGTGCTAATTTGTCAGCCTGCTGCCCTCTACCGTAAGATGCTTTCCACTGCTCACATGCTCAAGCCTGCCCCTCCACCAGGGCCACCAGCATTCTAGAATCAGCTCCCTACCTGCCTCTGAAGATGGGAATTACTTAGTTTTCAATGCTGGGCACAAGTTACCTGGGGAGGGGAGGGGCTGCAATCCGCTGGGCTACACCTTGCAGCATTGCTCAGCTGTTTCCCCTGGTGCAGGGGCCACATCTGGCTCTCACAGCTGAGCTGATATTGCCTAGCTCTGTGCCAGAGTCACACAAGGCTCACGGTGACTGTTCCAAGTGACTGTTCTGTGATCAAAGAATCAAGGGCTTGATTTTTCATCTCTTGGGAGAACTTGGTGTTACCTGTAGCTCTGCCAATTCTCTTAATTTTGTTCTTCACTGGGGCCCCGTGTCTACTCCTCACCTGGTCCTCACCAGCACAGTACCTTGCTTTTCGAAACAGCTCTTTATACTTTAAAATGTGGAGGTAGCTCTGAGCCCCCGATTTGTGGGCCCAGTTGGGTCAACCTGCCCTGTCCAGTTAAAGATTCACTAGACTTAGGTCACCACTGTGCTGCTTTGCAAGTGCGATATAAAACAGCGGCTCTGTGTCTCCTGCCTTGTTGCGTTATACCATCGCCAACCATACCACCGTCAAAGGGCTGTGTGAGCCACAGTGCCTGTGCTCAGACACTGCACACTGAAATAACCGTAACTCTGTCCACTGAGTGCCGGGCACCAGGTAAATATTCTGTAATATCCGGGTTCTTCTCCTGGCAACTGTGGACAACAGGTACTGTTAGTCCCCTTTCAGATGAAAAAAATAAAGCTTGTGGAGGTTAAGGGGTTGGCCCAAGGTCCAAGGGTCACACAGCTAGGAGGAGAAAGAGTTGGCATGGGAATCCATGTCCAGGAGACAGGGAAGTTCTTCATTCAGAAGCCAGGTGTTGGACAAGCAAGATAACTAGCTTCAACCCCGCTCCCCAGGGCACCCCCTCCAACAGGAAATCCCCCAGAGCTCCCAGCTGGCGGCAGCCCAGCGCTCACAGCAGGCTGCACGCTTGCACCCCTGGACAGCCCCAGGCGCGCTGACGGCGTCATCCTCACGTGACGCTCACCTGCAGTTTCATTCCACTCTTACAACTGACCCCTTAGGGTTTTTCCTTGTATGGAAGCTGGCACCAAGGCTTAAGGAGGTAAAGCGGCGCTGCCGCGGTCACCTTTACTCCCCACACCCCGAGCTCAACCCAGCTCTGCAAAAGTGTCCTTCAGCGAGAGCGCCGCGACGGCAGGTGGAAAAGGCACAAGCTTGGCAGCCTGGCCTCGGGTCTGCACCTGGGACTGTCCCGCCGTGCGCTCGCTCGGGAGCGAAGTCGGCCCTTCCGTTTTCACAGGTCCAGCTCCACTCGGCGCAGTCAGTGGACGCCCCGGCGACTGCGGGGTCAGAAGCAAACGGGAGATTGCGTCCATCGTGTCCTCGCCAGACACCTCCCGGCCTGGCCCAGACCCAACCTACCTGGCCGCGACGGCCGGTCCTGCCCGGCACCCTTCGCTGTGGGGTTTGAGCCCGCGGCGCTGGAGGCCAGGGACGGTGGCCGCCGGGAGCCCCGCCAGCCCGACGACCTCACTCGCAGAGTCCCGGCGCGACACCTCTACCGAAAACGCCAGGCGAGCGGCGCACCCTATGGCGTCACGACGCGATGGCCAATAGGCTGGCGCCTGGTTCTTCCCGGAAGCCGAACCGCGGAGGGGCGGGCCCAGCGCTGGGGCCTGGGCCTCTTCGGAGCCATCCTGGGCTCCGGGGCGCAAGAGTGAACTCTTTTTGAAGTTTTGCGTCTTGAACTCTACACTGTTCTCTCCCCACGCCAGCCATTTTAAAGACTGTTGCGCAAAAAGTGGTGGAGGAGACAAGTCCTGGCGCAGTGGTGAACAGAGACAAAAAGTTTTGTCTTTTGACTCTGACATACTCATGAAAGGAGGGATTTGTATTAGTTTTATTCGGCGGGAAACTGGAAGTGTGTTTTACAAGATCACACAGACAATAGAAGTAGTGAGCGAGCATGGTGTCATTGCCTGGTGTGGTGGCGCACGCCTGTACTCAGCACTCGGGAGGCTGAGGCAGGAAGATCGTTGCGTGTTCGAGACCAGCCTGGGCTACAAAGTGAGCTCAAGCCCAGCCTGAACTGCAGAGCGAGACCCTGTCTCAAAAAGACAATCAATCAATCAATCAATAGAAGAAGTAGTGAAGTCGAGATTCTTGGCCCCTGGATTGAGCAACCACCACCCACTCAGCTGCCCTGTCTTCTTGTGTTCTTCCTTGGGCAAGAATGTGGTAATGGGAGAGTAAGGTGAAACCTCTGGCATAGAGAGCATGCATTCCAGTGAAGAGGTTTCATTAAACAGACGGTTACAACCCAACTCCCCAGCCCCCCAGCATGTGAAGACCTATGAGTCCCTGGGCAAGAGGCCTCTAAATCAATCAAGGATCACATAGACCATCAAAGGCTTTCCTTGCTCCTTGAAGAGGTCTGGGCTGTGTATAACACACAAGAGGTCATTGGAATGTGCTCACAGGGGGTTCATGGCCAGGCCTGCATTTGAGACATGTGCCTCTGGCCACTCCCAGGAAAGGTGCTGGGCAGGATGGTGCAGGTGAAGGCTGTGGGGATTTGGTGTGGTAGAGATGGTGAGTATTTGGGGATGACCAGGAGGAAGAACTGGCAGCCCTCAGTGATGACAGAAGGTGGATGTGAGAGGGGAAGACCTACAAGGCTGACTGCTGGGCTTCTAGCCTGGCAGATACCTGTGCCATTCATGGATACTGGATTCCAGGAGGGGCAGCGGCCCAGGGAGAGGAGGAGGAGCTCAGAGTTGGATCGGTTGCATGTAACGTGTTTGCAGGACATCCAGAGGGCACTGCAGCATGGGAGCTGGAGACAGGGTCTGAGGTTTGGGCTTCCAGTGTTCCTTGAAGAACAGGATAAAGATAGAAATATTATCCCTATGGGAGTGGCTGTGTTTTCTGTGGGGAGAAACTCACACAAAGCTTTTATCAAGCTGTCGTCCCAAAGAGTCTGAAAATACAAGCTGCAGACTAGAAGGCAGTATGTGGTGAAAGACTTGTATCCAGAATATAGAAAGAACTCTCAGAAGTCAGTAAATAAACCAGTCGAAGAGATTATTGGACAAAAGATTTGAATAGCTATTTTGCCAAAGAAGATGCACAGAAAATTGGACAGGGGACGTTGCTTACCATCATTAGTGATCACAGAAATGCCAGTTTCAACCACACGGTGATGCCACTGCACACTTACACACCAATTATGACAACTGTTGGCTAGCGTTTTGGTGTGTACCTAGCTGTCCACCCAAAGCCTTGTGCGTCATGGGACTTTCTTAGAGGGGCCGAGTCTAGTGTGTGATACTGGGATTAAGGGTATGTGATTAGTAAATCTGTCCACTGATTGGTTTGGTATAGTTCTGGCTGGGTTTAAGGGTGTGAGTGCTACATACAATATAAGGGATGGAAAGCGTCTTGTCTCAGCCCTCTTGCTGCTTTGCTACCTTCTGCATGCCATGAAGGTTTCTGCTCTCTGAGAACTGTCTCCCTGCCACGCTGCCTTGGAGCCAGCTAATCATGGACTGAACCCTCTACAAGCTGTCAGCCAAATGAACCTTTTCTCCTTTAACTTTGGGTGCTGAGTATTTTGTCTCAGCAACGAGAAAAGTCACTAAGACAACCAGCCAGTGGAGGTACTGGAACTCACACACCACCGATGGGATCGTAAAATAGTACAACTAGTTTTGACAACCACTTGGCAGATTTTTTAAAAAGTTAAACATATACTTACTGTCTAATCTAGTCATTTCACATCTGGGCATTGACAGTGATGAATTGTACCTTAGAGTTGTGATCCTAGAAATAGTGAAGATTAAGAAATCTCTCCACCATTTGTGCTCCAGGAAACAATTTACTAGAAAGAGCCACCCTTTCCCACATGCCTTGGGTAAGACTGCCGACACTCCAGGCCAAACACAGGCCCTCCAAATTCCCATTCTGCCCCCTATCAGTGATTGGCTGGGCTGTTTGTTCATGCTGGTCAGTTGGAACATGTTGCCTGGTAGCCAAACCTCATTTTAGAGTCTGTCCTTCCACCAGGCCCCTGCTTTGGTTCACCCTCAGCCTGCACCGCCCACAGCCTGCAGTGAGGGAGGATCAGCTTTTAAAGCTCTTCGTTCTCATCCTTGGCGACGTCCTTTATAATATGCCAGTAAACTGTTTCCCTCCTGTCTGTGAGCTGCACAAGCAAGTTAGTCACACCTGAGGAGGAGCCTGGAAACCCCAATTTATAGTTAGTCGGTCAGCAGTCTGAGGGTGTGGATAGCATCAGAAGTTGGGACAAGTAGTCTTGGCGACCCAGCCCTCAATTCGTGGGGTCTGATGGTACCTTCAGGCAGATGGTGTCAGAACGGAACTGAATTAGAGGACACTGCACGGGGATCCGCCCCTGCAAAACTGCATGTTTGGTGCGTGAAAAGAAACCCCCAGAATCTGGTGTCAGAAGGAGAAACTGAGTCAGACCTGGTTTTTTCCATACTATCCCATGTCCTTGAATATTCTGTGACCGAAAATATAAAGTTAAGCCTTAACAACTTAGATATAAAATTGAGGAGAAGAGAGCAGAACACATGGTTAGCAGATCCAAATAAACAATCAAATTGAAATATCCACCACTGCTATGGTCCTCATTTCTAGAATTAATCACAAGGCACAAGGTGACTTCTTGCTTTCACCGTGTGTTCTGCACTTCCCCTGCCTTCCACAAGAGCCTGTCAACCTGCCTTCTCTTTTCTCTTCTTTTCTCTTCTTTTCTCTTCTCTTCTCTTCTCTTCTCTTCTCTTCTCTTCTCTTCTCTTCTCTTCTCTTCTCT